TAACTGCAGACATTTCCAGTGTAGTATGTCTCCTCATTTCCTGATTGCTAGTACCAAGGGTGTTAATTGTGGATCCAAGTCAGATGGAGTTGTTGACCATTTCAGTCTCTTCTCCATTTACCATGACGTTGCCTGTTGATCCATTGGTAAGAATCTTTGTTTTCTTGACATTGATATGCACAAGTGCCTAAAGTCCTGGACAAGACTAAGGATGACAGAAGAAGAATCAATACCTTTGAGTTGTGGTGTTTGTGTTGTGGATTGTTAAAACATTGCATGGAAGCTAAGAAAACAAACAGGTTTGTCCCAGAGAGGGTGAAACCAGGTTGCTACTTAGGGGCAAGGATTTTGAAGCTCTGTCTCACATACTTTGGACATGTTGCCAGAAGGGACCATGGATATCATGGTTGGACATCATGGTTGGAAGGGTGGAGGAAGACACTGGATGAGATGGACTGATATGGTAACTGGAGTAATGGCTTAGATGTGTCAGATAGTAAGAATGGCTCAGGACAGGACAGGGTTCAGAGCTATGGTGCATAAGGTCGCCATGAGTCGCAGGAAACTTAACAGCTCATAACAACAATATCAGTGATATTGTCCAATAATTTCCACGTCTTTTGGATCACCTCTTTGGGAATAGATCTCCTTCCAGTTAGTTGCAATTTATTTTTAACTAATTCTCAAGTCAGAAAAAGAAAGCAAAGGACAAAGTTCTCCGAAATTACTCAGAGGTTTTCCTTTAAAGAAAAATGAAATCCATATTTGATCTCTCCAAAGATTAATATACATGCCTATCAATAATGTTCTCTAAATTTATCAGTACAAGAAACTAAGATAGTTTAAGATCATCAAAGATATTACATTCTTCACCATTATTTTTATATATATGTATTTATGTATGTGTGTGTGTGTGTGTGTGTGTGTGTGTGTGTGTGTGTATATATATATATATATATACCCTTGAGCCAACTCATAGCTGGCATTCCAGGAGGTTTCCAGAGACAGTATCTTGGGTACATCTTTCTCCTGCAGAACGGCTGGTGGATTCGAACTGCATCACTTTTTTGATGGTAAGTGCAATTCCTTACCACTAAAAAAGAAATTTAAGCTTCAAATTGCAATTCTAAGAGACTTTATGGGTAAATCTGGAATGATCCAGGAAATATCGAAAGAAGATGGAGGGAATACACAAAATCACTGTACTAAAATGACTTGGTCAACACAAATATTTCAGGAAATGTCATGTCATATGCTCAAGCCAGTGGTGATGAGGGGAGAAGTTCAAGCTGCACAGAGGGCATTGGCAAAAAATAAAGCCCCAAGAACTGATGGGATACCAACTAACATATGCAAGCAAAATACTACTGAAGATCATTCAAAAATAGCTAGAACAGTACATGGATAGGGAACTGCCGGAAGTTTAAGCAGGCTTTAGAAGAGATCGTGGCACCAAGAACGCTATTGCTGATGTCAGATATATCCTTACTGAAAGTAGAGACTATCAGAAGAATGCTTATTTGTTTTATTGACTATGCAAGGACATTTGATTGTGTGGATCATAACAAATTGTGATGGACATTCAGAAGAATGGGAGTCCCAGAGCACTTCATATGCTCATGTAAATCCTAGACCTGAACCAGAAAGCTGTTGTGCGAACAGAGCAGGGGAACACTGCATGGTTTAAAATTAAGAGGGGAGTATATGAGGGTTGTATTCTCTCCCCATATCTATTTAATCTGTATGCTGAGCAAATTATTCGAGAAACTGGACTCTGTGAAGAGGAATGTGGCATCAGGATCGGAGACTCATCAGTAACCTGCCTTCCTTCATGAAAGTGAGGAGAAGTTGAAGTATTTGTTGTAGATAATCAAGGACTGCAGCCTACAACACGGATTTCATCTCAACATCAAGAAAATAGAAATCCTCAACACTGGACCAATAGGCAGCATCATGATAGATGGAGAAAAGATTGAAGTTGTCAGCAATTTCACCTTACTTGGATTCACAGTTAGTACCCTGGCAACTGTAGTCAGAAAGTCAAAAGATGAATTGCATTGGGAAAAAAATGCTGTCAAGGATCTTTCCAGAGTGCTAAAGCACAACAGTGTCATTGTAGAAACCAAGGAGCACTTGATCCAGGCCATGATGGTCTCATTTCCTTTGCTGTGCATCTGAGAGCTGGACGGTGAATAAAAAAGAATTGATGCCTTCGGGTTGTGGTGCTAGAGAAAACTATTGAACATACCATGGATTGCCAAGAGGACAAACAGATCTGTCCTGGAGAGGGTAAAACTAGTTTATTCCTTGGAGGCAAGGATTTTGAAGCTCCCATCTCCCACATTTTGTGCATTTTAAGAATGTCCAGTCTTTGGAGAATAACATCATGCTTGGAAGAGTGGAAGGTCAGTGCAGGAGAGGATGAGATTAATTGACACAGTGACTGTGGCAGTGGGATCAGGTGTGTTAGATAGGGCAAGTCTCAGAGCTGTTCTTCATAGGATTGTATAGGTTGTAGTCTACTTCATGGTACATAACAACTAGTAAACCCTTGGATTTGAATTTTCATGAGCAACATTCATGAGAATTCATCTATAGCTCCTGCTTATAAGAACTTTGGTGTGGTTAAAAATTCAGCATAATTTCAGAAAGGTTTCTGCTTTCTATAGATTGAGAATATAGATTTTGATCTATTGCTTACTTACTATGTAAACCAAAGGACTAGGGCAAAAGTTCTTATTTTCTTTTTATTGTTTTAATTGTATTAGAAAATGATATACAAAACTAGAAAGACCTGTGTATAAACCCCAGCTGCTCCTCTTTGTAGCTAGTTGACCTTGAATAATTTATCATTCTCAATCTCAGTTTTTGCATCAGTAGGGGATAATGCTGCCACCAAAAACTGTTTTAAGATGTTCGGTGAACACATACAAATTTTTGGTATAAAATTTAAAATATTGTTGACTCTCAGTACATCTTAGCTGTCTCTTCAGTGAGGCAAAATGAAATGGTAAATTTGAAATAGCTGTGCATGCATTAGATAAAGACAGTAACCATTAGCATTAATTCCTCTTTCAAAAATTGTTTTGACAGTATAAATGTATAGTCTTAATAGTGTAATATACTTGTTTAGATATTAATTGATAAGCACGTGTCCAGATTTGATGATCTTTAAAGATTTCTGTATGCTCTTGTTCCGTAAACTTCAGAAGCCCCTAGGCAAATCCTGCAGCAAACTCATGTGATTTATTAAATCAACAGTTGACTAGTTCTTTAGTAGTCTTTATACCAATATATATAAATGGTATGTATGCATCTTTTCTTATTTTGCTGGTACTAGACCCTCCCACTCTTGCTTTACTCTCCTCTTTCCCATTGGAAAAAAACACAAAAAAACTTAGGAGATTCAAGAGCATGGCATGCATCCTGATCTCTTCCTGCTTTGAACATTTTGTATTAGATAGCCCGTGACAGTTATCTTATGTGTGTATGTAATTAAATATCTAAAAATAAGATTAAAAAAAATAAGCTTGTGTTCTGGGAAGTAAGAAGTCAGTTGCCACACATTTCAAAGGAATTCCTAGGAAACTTAGAGTGGGTCAGTTTAGAGTAATTTAAATGATTTTTGAAAATGTTTTTAGCACTCAAAAACATTAAAATACCCACCAAGTGCACACATAGCACTTTCTGGGAACTCAGATATAAAAGGAGCAAGCTCTGAGCCTGAGTTTCTTGCCTTCCAGAGTAATTAGAGTTCAAAATTTAGTGTTGAAATGCCCAGCGTTAAGCAATTTCAATACAAAACATTACCAAAATGTGCTATAGATCAAGGACTTTGTCCTACTTACTTCATACAGTGAAGCATGTTTGCCTATAAAGAAAGTTTCAAGATTGAAAAATCATGGAAGGAATATTGGAGACAACAGAATTATCCTTGCTATTCTTTTTTTTTTTTTAAAAAAAACAACCTCTCTTTCTGGTATTTTTGTGGTGATGGAACCTAAGGAATAGTTGAAATAGATACTGGCTGATTGAGTTACCTTTCCTAAATTTTGGTTTTCTTGTCTGTGAAGTAGAGATAGAATTTTTGTTAGGGTCAATTTAATTGAGATATTAAAACCTAACTCTAATACTTGTTATGCGTCAGATAGCTGGACAATGACCAGGGTGGGTAGAAGGAGAATTGATGCTTTTGAGCTTTGGTGTTGGAGAAGAGTGCTGAGGGTACCATGGACTGCAAAGAAAACAAACAGATTCATCTTGGGGAGGGTTAAACCGGGCTGCTCTTTGGAGGCAAGGATTCTGAGACTTTGTCTGAGATACTTTGGTCATGTTGTAAGGAGGGACCAGTCCTTGGAGAAAGACAATCATGCTTGGGAGGGTGGAGGGCAGGTGCAGGAGGGGAAGGCCCTCTGGGAGGTGGATTGATTCGGTGACTGGGGCAATCGGGATGAGTGTGTCGGAGACAATGAGATTGGCACAGGGCAGAGCAGAGTTTAGGGCTGTTGTACATAGGGTCGCTATGAGTTGCAAGCAACTCGACGGCACATAACAACAGCAACAACAACTGTAAATGGTATGGCTAGATGATAAAACGTACAAGGAGAACAAATGGAAGGTATTAAGTTTTACTCCAACTTTAAAGTCTGTGCTTCTGTACAGAGTGTTTAGTTTTGAATATTTTCTAGTAATTTTATGTATATATGCATTTATATATATTTTTATAACATATAAATAGAAGTACGTGCTACAAGTCTTAGGGCTTGCTTTTAAATCCAAAAATAGTTGTAGTTTTAAAAAATATTTGACCAGTCTTAAGTATTGCTGGGTTTTATTATTTGAATGTATACTAGTTATTATAATCAGTGTCTTCACAATTAATATATATGTATTCAATCCTTTCTTCTCCTTAGGGTTAACTGTTTCTGAAAGTCCATCCTCCCAAGAAGGGACAGAAAGCAGAAAGAAAGACCACTTTGTAAGAAAGGCTTGGGTATCCCATGAACGAGACAGAAGAAAACCGGTTGCGGTGCAGCAGGACTCCAGAGCCAGATATAAGGCTCAGAAAAGGGCACCAACTTGATGATAAAAGGAGAAGTGACAATGACGTCCACCAAGAAGGAGATTTGGAGCCCATTTTAGAAGCACCTGTTCATTCTTCTTATTATAAAAAAGTAAGTGAAAGTGAAGTAGAATTGGAAATAAAACAAAAACTTAGGAAAATGTGACTGGAGACAGAATATAAATTTAAACACCATATGGGATCGTTACTAGAAAGATGAAGAATGTCATGGATGAACTTTGAGTGCATTAACTTTTTAGGGGTTGTTGTTCAGAGTCATTTGAAGAATTACTTTTAAATTAGTTTAGATAAATTTTGATTTTATAATTTTACCTTTTTCTTAATTTGAAGTAACATTTTTATCTTACTTACTAGACAGTAAGTTGAAGGTTTTTTCCCTCATTGGTATATAATCCACTAAACTCATTGCCATTGAGTTGAATCCACTCATAGTGACCTCCATCAAGTGTCTGAGACTGTAAATCTTTGAGTAGAGACTGCCTGTTTTCAACTCTAGGAGCAGTTATGGGCTTGATCCACCGACCTTTCTGTTAGCTGGGAGTCACACCATGCCTCCAGGGTGTTTTGTTACCATATAGCCTTTTAAATTTGCCCACACTTTAGTTAGGACATTTTTAGTAATATTCTTATAAAGATTTTAGTTTTATGCTGCTCCAGATATTGTTTTCTCTCCTTTGCACACCTTTAGGAGAAAGAGATCAATATAATTCTGAGAACAGAAGACATTTTAATATTTTCTTTCATTCTTCAGAGGAATAATCAACCTTTAAATGATTTATGCAGCAATATATAGAGAACAAAGTATAAATATTTATGAATAGCAGCAGGACGATCATTTTTGCAGATATATTGACTGTAGTAGCCTAGTGGGTAGAGGTTTATGCTACTGTCACCAAGGTGGCACTTCTTTTATGGTTCAAATCCACCAGCAGCTCTGTAGGAGAAAAATGGGCAGTCTCCTCATCTGTATTTCAGCCTCTGTAAACCCCTAGAGTGTTAGCTATGAGCTAGTTCTGACTCCATGACAATGAAAGAATGAGTCTGGAGCCTTGGTATTGTGTAGTATGCTTTTTTATTATGACTCTGGTATAATACTTAACACACTGTTGGTTAGTGGGTTTTGAAATTATTTTATATATTGCAACCACCATTAAAAAATGAAACAACAGAATAAAATAAAGAAAATAAAGTTGCTTGTATGTAATATGCATATAAAAGTCTTATGCTATTTGATGAAACTTACTGGTTTTAAATAGATAGGTATATATGTACATAAATAATAATATATGAAGTAGAGTTCTTTTTAAATTTTTTTAATGGTTTGCATATAATCATTCATGTACATCATATTTTGTACATGTACTTTGTGTTTTATACAACCATTCACACACATTATATTTTATGTAATTAATTCCGTTACTTCTATAGCTATTGGAGGCTCATGTGTGAAGTGGTTGGATTCTGGAAGATGAGTTCTCTTGTCTTGGCATGGACTGTTTGGTTGTTGGTTTTTTCTGTCCACAATCAGGTGTGAGCTGATTGGATTTACCAGCTTTAGCTAACAAATGAGCTGTGGGCTGGAAGCCTCTTGGTTTAGAGTTAACCAGGACCTGGTGGGCAGGCCTTGTATTTAGAAATCCGTGGGCCTGGTGTTGTGTTTGGGATGAACATTCTTCTAAGTGGTAAAGCACTGGTCTGTCAGTTTGCTGTATTAAAGTAATTTGGGGTTGCTGTGATGCCGAATGCAGTGCCACTGGTGTGTCAAATGCCATAATGGCTAACCATCATGGACAGTATTTGGTGGAACTCCCAGATTGATTTAGGTTTGGGAGTATGAGTGGCCTCTGGAAACTCCATGAACATAGAGATACGACCATAGTTACGGTACAAGGTTCAGGTCTCTTGTTCATAGGATTGCTATGAGTTGTGCTTGACATGATGGCACTTAACAACAATAGCTATTATCAACTCAACTTTTCAAGCCCCCATTGGACTTTCCCCATTACTTCATCCCTCCTCCACCTACTAACCTCTGCTATCCCAGTGATTTTTTTGTCCTTTTTTTTCTGACACCCCTTCTCTCCTTTCTCTTTTGAACATTTATAGATCTTATTCAGTTATACTCCCTTATTTCCTTATGCAATAAATGTCCTGATATGACTGAAATGTTTGTTTCACTCAAATGTGTTGAGTGATCATATTTTACTCAGCATAATGTTCTTAAATCTCTCCCACTTAATGTAGTATTTTACTAAATTAAATTGTTGCTTTTTAGTGCTGCATAGTATTCCATTGTGTGAATACCACAATTTCTCAGTCCATTTGTTTGATTCCATTTTCTTGCTACTGTGAATGACACTGCTGTGAACATAGGTGTAAACCCTTCCATTTTTAATCTCAGTTCTGATTTCCTTGGGATAGATAGATTCCTAGCAGTGGAATAGCCGGATCATAGGTGATTTTTGTGTCTAGCTTTTTTGAGGAAAAGCTGTTCCCCTTCCCCCCAGAAAAGGCCTATCCAAAGTGGTTGTACCATTTTACAATCCCACCAGTAGTGTAAGAGTTCTAATCTGTCTGCATCCTTTCCTCCATTTATTGTTTGCTGTTTTGTTGAACTTTGCTGGAGTAAAATCTTATTATTGTTTTGATTTGCATCTCTCTGATTGATAGTGATATTCAATATCTTCTCATGTGTTTCTGATTGATAGTGATATTCAATATCTTCTCATGTGTTTCTTGGCCATCGAATGTCCTCCTTTGTGAAGAATCTTTTCATGTCTTTTGCCCGTTTTATGATTGAATTATCATCTTTTTCTTTTGGAGGACCTGTAGGATTTTGTAAACTTTGGTTATGAAACCCTTATCTAAAATGCCATTGCTAAATGTTTTTTTTCAGATCTGTGCGCTTTCTTTTTTATTGCAGACATTTTTTGATGCGTACATGGATTTGATTTTAAGATGGTTTCATTAGTAGATCTTAATTTCTCTAGGTTATGCATTTTTGGCTTTATTCGTGAGCCTGTTTATGCCAGGGCTTCTCATTTTGTTCCCATTTTGTCTATAAGGATATTTATAATTTTGAATTTTACCCCTAGGTCTCTGATCCACTTTGAGTTGTCTTTTATGTTTGTTGTGAGATGTAGAGCCTGTTTCAGTTTTCTGCACATGTCCAGTTTTGACAGTACCATTTGTTAAAGAGGCTGTTGTGTCCCCATTTAATGGGTTTTATTTTCCTTGTCATGTATTTGGTTGCTAGGTTGACTTCTGTATTAGCAATTTTATTCTGTTCATCTATATGTCTATTGCTGTACCATGAAATAAAGTTCTTTTTATTGATTTTGGTTAAAACTACTTTGGAAGTCTTTATGTGGAATACCAGTTTTTGTAGACCCTAAGAGATAGGCTTATTGAATGCAAGGTCTTCCCCTATCAGATCTTTTATAAATATTTCATCAGAGTATTATAGTAATAAAGGCTGTTATGGCGAACAGGAAGTTTAAGATTATAAACCCCCCATTCTTTTTAAGGCTAGACTTATGTTCTGTATGAGGCATGTGAGAGTTGGAGAATGAGAAAGGAAAACCAAGGAAAACTTGCTGCCTTTGAATTGTGGTGGTGTTGAAGATTATGGAATATACCATGGACTGCTAGAAGAACAAACAACGCTCTTTTGGAGAAAGTGTTCCTTAGATGTGAAACTTTGTGCACATGTTTTGGCATATTGTCAGAAGGATCTGTTCTTGAAAAAAGACATCATGTTGGGAAAGGTCAAGTGCATTGATACAGTGGCTACTACAGTAACCTGAAGTATAATATATAATAGAGATGGTGATGATGATGTTGGATAGGGCAAGGTTTAAGATCTTTTGGTCTAAAGATTGCTATGAGTTGTAGTTTTCTAGACAGCACTTAACAACAAATCTTGTACTCTTGATAAGATTGTCATAGTAAAAGATTACTTATGCTTGTAATTTGTCTTTTTTTAAGTGTGTGTGTGTGTGTGTGTGTGTGTGTGTGTGTGTGTGTGCGCGTGCACCATCAAATCACATCTCACTAGCACAGGAGGATATTGCCCCTCCTTCTCCAGCAGAGCATCTGGTGGATTCGAACCATGTGTCTTTGGGATTGAAGCACAGCTTCTTGCCACTAGGCCTCCAGAGTTTCCTTGTCTTTTACTTAAACTCATAGGACAGCCTTCGAGTTTATGGGATTTAAGAAGACTTATCTGCCCGTGGGAACTTTGGCGGCTTAATGGTAGGAACTTGGCCCCTAAACCAAAGGCAGGCAGTTTGGATCCACCAGCTACTCTATGGAAGAATGATTAGTAATCATCTGTGTAATTTACACCCTTTGGAAACCCACTGGAGGGTTAGCTGTTAGTTCTGACTCTGCAGCATAACATTTCGCTACAGTAACTATAATTTGGCCTAGATGTAGCATTAGTGGTTTGGGGGGAGAATTTACATCTTTCATGGAGGAGAACCAGTTTTCATTCTGACAACTGCACTTCAAGCACAGACACCATGTGTCTTTCTTTGGAAGTTTGCATGTCACTGTAATGCTGAAGAGGTTTCATAGATGCTTCTAGAGTAAGAGTAGGAAGACTTAGCAGTCTGCTCCCGAAAATCAGCCTGTGAAAACTACATGGCTCACAGCAATCTGTTCCCATGATGGGAATGGTGCAGAACTAGGCAAGCATTTTATTCTCTTTTACGTGGGATCTTCATGAGTTGGGAGCAGCTCAGCAGCTATGAGCAACAATAAAAACGACAAGTTGACCTTTAAAACCAGCTTTAAACTTGAGAATTTGAGTTGATTCCAACTTTAGGACCCTTTAGGAGAGACTAGAATTGCCCCATAGGGGTTCCAAGGCCATAATCTTTACATAATAGATTGTCACATCTTCCTCCTGCAGAGCAGCCAGTGAGTGGGCTTGAACCACCTTTGAATCACTGTCTCAGCTGAGTCCTTAATCACTGTGCCACCAGGGCTCCTTTCTTAGCAGGTTGATATGTGCAGGATTGAGCAGAGTTTTGTTCTGTTGTATGTAGGATCCCTACAACAGTAAGGGTAACAACACCACCAATATCC